TAGCCCCTAGAGCCTGGCACTTTGAACTTGGACTTAAAGCCTCCAAATTGTAAGAATAAACTCCTGTTTGTTAAGGCCATCCCATTTGTGGTACTTTCTTGTCAGAGTGGCACTAGGTAACCAGAACACCATTGTTAAAAACCAGGTCTTGAAGCTTTATTCCTATGTTTTCTGAGATTTTTATGGTTTTAGTTCTTGTACTTATGTCATTGATGCAATATGAATTAATTTTCTTATATGGTATGAGGTACTGGTCCCACTTCATTTTTTCCATGTAGAGATCCTAGCACCATTTTTTTTACCTTTATTTTTATTAACTTCTTAAAATGTTTTCAGTGTTCCCTCTGCTCCCCTCCCATACCTGGTAATCAACAAAGAAAGTTTCTTTCCATATATAAACCTTTCCTTGAATTTTTACAATAATGAACTAATAAAATATTTGGCCTTCTGTAGTTGACTTATTTCACTCAGCATAATGTTCTCCAAGTTCATCCACGTTATGCGGTGTTTTGCAGATTCTACTTTATTCTTAAGTGTTGGATAGTATTCCATTGTGTGTATGTGCCATAGTTTGCTTATGTATTCTGTTGATGGACACCTAGGTTGCTTCCATCTTTTGGCTATTATAAATAGTGCTGTGATGAAAATGCGTGTGCATATATCTGTTCTTGTCCTGCCTCTCACTTCTTTAGGATATATACCTAGTAAGGAAATTGATGAATCAAATGGTATTTCTAATTCCAACTTTTTAAGGAATCGCCATACTGCTTTCCATGGTAGTTGTATCATTTGACAGTCCCACCAGCAGTGTATGAGAGTCTCAGTCTCTCCACATCCTCACCAGCATTTGTTATTTTCTGTCTTATTGAACTTTGCTATTAGTGCTGGGGCAAGATGGTACCTCGTTGTTTTGGTCTACTTCCATAGTGATGCCGCCTTGGAATCCCAAGGAGGGGTCGCTATAAGCCGGATCTGACTTGATGGCAGTGAGTTTAATGGCTAACAGGGAGCTCTCATGGTGTAGTGCCTAAGACATTTGACTGCTAACCAGAAGGCTGGAAGTTCAAACCCAGCAGCCACTCCTTAGAAGGAAGACTGGGCAATCTACTTCTGTAGAGATACAACCTTGGAAACCCAAGGAGGAGTTGCTATGAGTAGAGGACGACTTGACGTCATGAACATTTCTTTATGTATTTGTTGGCCTCCTGAATATCCTCTTTGGTGAAGTGTCTGTTCATGTCTTCTGCCCATTTTTTAATTTGTTTGTTTGTCTTTTTATTGTTGAGGTGTTAGAGTTTTCTATAAATTTTAGAGATAAGTCCCTTGTCAGATATGTCGTTACTGAATATTTCTTCCCAATCTGTAGGTTCTCTTTTGACTCTTTTGAAGAAGTCTTTTGAAGCACGTACAAATTTAATTTTTAGAAGGTCCCATTCATCTAGTTTATCTTCTGCTGTTTGTGCATTTTGGGTTATGCTTGATAGTTTATTTATGTCATAAATTAGGGCCCCTAAATTTGCCCTTAGTTTTTCCTTGAGCAACTTTA